CGTGTACGTTTAGGCAACAGAAATACTCTGGGGCCAGGTAAAGAAAACAGTACTGAAGCCTGGATCTCTTTCTCCTCCTTTTTAACAGCAGCAAACAGTCCACATGCATGCCTTCCATTTAAATGTGATTCAGCACAGTGAAGTGCTGAAGTTTCATTCAGTGGTAATGCCATTGCCTAGTTATACAGAAGAATAAAGAATAAACCACAGAAAATGAAGAATGAGGTCCTGAAAAAGGCCTGTAGACACATTTTTTAATACCAGCTCTTCTAAATGTGAGAAGAAAGTCATGATTCTTGTTCACAAACCATTTCTCTACGAAGATCGTTAGAATTAATAAAGATGATGCACAGTTACACTAGGATAACATAAGGCCCTGTCTGGAAAGGAATCAACGCTACAGAGCTTTAAGAATACGATTCCTGACGAAGAAAAGAAGAGGAAGATGACTTCTGTTAAGTCAAACTAAGAGTGAATGGCCTCATCTCAATTGTATCTGCACATATCACACTACCATGTCGGCCTAGATGCGCAGAAGGCTCATCAACTGTGAGCAAATAATGCTGACTGACTGGGGATCAAAGACTCCCCAGACTTCTGGGACAGACCTGGCAGAAATAAGAGATGCCTGAATCTGTTCCTCAACCTCCTCCTGTACTTTCTGTCTGGGGTGATTTAGGTGATGTCAGAAGCCATAGACTGAGTGAATGTGAGAAGAGCAGAGACAAACTATACGGGAAACAGTTAAAAATAAATAGGAGCTGTGTATTTGACAAACAGTTCTGAAACATGTAAGATTTATAACACGCTGTAATATCCCTGAAAATTTTGTAACATCATCTCAAGAGGCAGTCCATGTCTGCTTCACATGCGTTAGATAGGCCATAGCAAAAAGCACTGAAATCATCATTTAGGTTAACAAGAAAAAAAAAAAGGAAAAAAGGAAAAAAAAAAAAAAAAAGACATGGGGAAGAAACTGAAAAGGGAAGAGAGGAAATGAGAGTCATCATGCCACCATACCTGTCCCAGCAGAATGAAAATCCAGAAGCCACTTTCTTACGAGGAAAAGAACCAGGAAGGAAGTTTTCAGCAAAATAAGGATAGCAAAAGGGAGGTTAAGCTTCCCTCTGAGCAGAAGGAGAATTTCTTTCATGGTGTTGCTCTCTGAGTCTAACAGGAAGAGACTTAAGAGGTTACATCTGCTATGTTTCCCCAAGAGATCACTGAGAGCTGACTTGACTGCCCTTCAGGCATCTCCTCAAGGAGACTCGTTTCCCCTGTCAGACAGGAGTGTAACAAGGTCTAGTGACTACAAGACAAAATCAGCAGGATTAAGGCATGCTGCTTATAACAGGGAGTGTGTTCAGTTGCTGCAGCAATTGCCCTAGACAGCGTGTGACAGATTCTCCCTTGGTATGAGGTCTCTGAATCAAAACAACATCTTTTAAAAGACAGGTTTGCTCTTAATCTAAAGGTAAAAAATTTTATGCAGGATTATCAAATGTACAAACGTGGCCCTTGTTTGACAGGAATGTAAGTAAGATAACCATAATATAGCTGTTTCTCCTACCTTAAAATCTATGAAACTGCAGAGGAACAAAGCTTTTATTGTCTTTTTGCATCTCACTAAAATCAAGTACCAGTTGCAGAGAACTCTTCCTTTGAAGTCAGGTGCCCCTTGCTAAGGGGTGGCTTCTTCCCCTGTGTTTGGCACTTTGCTCATAGAGGCTCAGAGGGGCTCACACTGCAAGTCTCTCAGTTGGTTATCATTCCTCCAGTATAGCCTAAGAGGGAAGAACAGCTGTTCTGAGAACCCCTTCGCTGAGAGCTATGTGAGATGTGTGGCAGGTTTCAAATATCGGATGGTTAAAAGTCCATGAAGACTAAGGATTATATGGCTGAGCCAGGATGCAGTCACAGCCCTGATCCTACAGTCAACACCAATAACTTCTGATGTTCCTGTGCATAAATTGTCCACTGATTAAAGAGCATTAAGAACAGTATCCCCATGTCATAGCTTTTCTGTGATTACCCGCTAAGAATTTCTTTGCAGCTTTTTCATAGATCCTCTGTACTTGCCAGTAACAAGTCTCATAACATGGAATGACCTGATTTTCCCCTTCATTTCTTTTGCTTTTTGCTTCTTATTTGGCCTTAGGCTTGGAGGGAGACTGTGTCTGCCTAGGTATTTTGAGAGGTCCTGCGTGCTGAATTTGCTACTGCAAACCTCATCGTTATTTTTGCTATTAGAATCATTACTCCATGCTCAGATGCCATGCAAGAAAATGAGGCAGCTGGCAGACAGCCTAATAGATCATAGATTATACACTGTCAGAGATGCAAGCTGTACTTACCTTAAGATTTTAATATGTTTAAAACCTGTGATAAATTATCAAGAAAAGTAATATAAAACGTAGGATAAAGTGTGAGCTCAGTTTACTTCAGGCTTTCTACTATGTAGGGACCAAAGAAGAGGTGCAGAATGGGTGGATCACGTTTTTTATAGCTTGGCTGCAATGTCAAAATTGGATTGGCTTAAAATATTTATGACATGAGTGAAAGAAAATCTGTGAAATACTCAGAACTTAATGTGCATACTCTTAATGTGCTTGGTTGAGGACAGCAGAGCGGGGAATTGAGAATAACTTGTTTACTGCCAAACAGGTCTCCGTAGTACCTATCTTCGCTATGTATTAAAAATCGTGGCTGAGGCCAGGAATGCTGGAGCTGGAATTAAGGACAAGAACACACAATAACTTTAAGTAATGGCAGAGAGATTTAAATAGCACACATCAGCAGAAAAGAATGGGGAAACCTACAGTACACTGACTTCATTGATACCCCATTTATCAGCAATTACTGACTCCATTAAAGGCAGAGTTTACAGCAGACAGAGAAACAGAGCCTAAAATATGTCCCAACAGATGGACGGAGAGTGTCAGTGATGCCGTATTTCAAAGGCATCTGCAACTTTGTTATCATTGTACATGGAGTCAGAAAGACAGCGAAAAACACTGGAGTAAGGGCCAGCAAATGATTTACTTGACCCTGCATGGGCAGAACTGACAGCAAAAACCTCATTAATTCCTCAGGTCATTCTGGAAGACATTAATTTGGTTTGGACTGGGGACGAGGGGAGATTTTCCAGACATACACCAGGAATTATGAAATCTCTATAGCCAGAGGAAAGTATGTCCAAATCACTTTCTGCATAAATCAAGCTGACTTTCTGAAGAAGGATAATATGCCTAATCAGGGGAGTTATGGAACTTCTTGTACTTATTAGACAGAAAATAAAACAGTATATTATTTGATAATCAACTTGGGGAAGATTTCTTTTTTTTCTCTTTCTTTTGCTCTTGCCAGAGAAGAGCTGGAAAACAAGTCTCTGGTGTGTGAATAGCTGTGCGTGCTCTGATGGTATTCGTGTGTTTGCAGAGTGATATGTGGAGATGCACACGTATTTACATACATAATGCATGTGTCTAATTTTACTCAGCCTGCTGTATTGATGCACCTTTTGGCCTTCTACCTCCATGCTGCAGAATGCCAAGGACCATCATCTTCCCTCTCTGACACTCTTCAGCTCTCACTCAACATCAGCCAGAAGCAGCTGGTGAGCAGGGGGCCAGCAGGGCTGAGCTGCTCCTCAGACCATGCTTCTGCTGCTGCATGGCCCCTCTCCACCAGAACTGGTGGGACCATTGATTTGTGGACAGATTGAAACCAAGTCTGGCCTGCAGGACTGCATGGGGTGAGCAGGAGTCCTCCTTTGCAAGTGATCCAAGCTTAAAAAAGAAGAGATTTGACTAGGTGTCCCCATCCTCATGGTTGGGATCTCCAGACCCAACAGCAAAAAGAGCCCTTACAAATAGCCAGGAGCTGCAAGCCCCCCTTCTCCACCCCACTCCCCACCATAGATGCTTTCCAGTGCTTATACATAAGCCCTTGCTGCACAGGGTATCTTCCTCTGTACAAGATGCATTCATCATGTTTAGAGAAGGGTTATCTCTCCCTGAAAAGAACATGCATTAGTACTTTTTACTCATTCAACACTGGACACTCCCTATCAACAACAGCCTGCCGAAAGGGAAGAAAGAGGTGAATTAATCATGGGAAGAGACAATTTAAAGAAGTTTGGCTATAAAACGGAGTTCATTAGGAGGCCATAATGTATTACGGACTAGCAAGCTGCAGTTTCCCCACCTCTGCCATCCTAGTCAACCATAAACAGTGCTAATTGCATTGACACCAAGCTGTAGGATGGCAGACGACCTCTTTTAACTACTTCCGCAGAGCACAAAAAGTCACACAACACGTTAATTTGTCTATTGCAAATGCAAGTCCTCTTGCAAGATGCTTAGCTTCTTATCTCCTCAGATTGAGAGAACAGTATTAAGTGCTCTGTAGTATTCACTGTAGAGCTGCAATTATAATAATAATCATGTCACTTGGCCTTAGCATGGCAATTAGAGATCTCAAATCCCATTGCAAGTGTGCATGGTATAGAATCAAAGAATCACTACATCTCCATAGTTCTTGAACACCTTCAGGGACAGTGACTCCACCTTGGGCAGCTGTGCCACTGCAGCACCACTCTTTCTGAGGAGAAATATTTCCTGGTATCCAACCTGAACCTCACCTGGCATATCTTGAAGTCATTACCTCACATCCTATCACTCCAGAGAATGTATCTCCATAGGCATAGAACCAAGAGAACCCCGGCTGGAAGCGTAACACAAGTCCCTTTTCCCCTTCCATCCTCCAGAACATGGCAGTATCCATTTCCCCTGCTTTTTCTGATTTGCTTAAGATACATTACACTAGTTATTAACTCCTTTTCCTGGATATAGATTTCCCTCAATTTTTATTTAGTGTTTTTAACAAGCAAAACAACTCCATGGAAGATACTGGCCCTGTAGGGGATTGGTTTGGGGGCAAAAGGAGCAATTAAACAATGGACTGAAATACTAACTGACTCAGGACAGTGTTTTGTGCAGCCTGCCCATCGACTGCTTTGGACTGAGTGACAATAAGCCAGTTTTTTAAAGAAGAACATGGGGCTGTTGGAGCTGGACCAGAGGAGGGCCACAAAATGATCAGAGGGCTGGAGCACCTCCCCTACGAGGACAGGTGGAGAGAAGTAGGTGAGCTTCGAGGTCTTTTCAAACCTGAACCATTCTGTGATTCTATGATTTTCAGATATGCTCAGACTGTCTCTCTAGTGATGTAAAGGGTTCGGAAATAAAAGTGAAATATATGTAAGACCAGCTTACATGAACAGACTGACAGAAACCAAGCTCAGTACAAATGAAAATCAGAGAACAGGAAGGAATTGTTGAGCCATGAAAATTCACTGCTGGAATCCAGCATAACAAATGGCCCTGTTTTAAATAAAAACTGAGATGATTCAGATATACCAAGAGTATTTTCCCCACCATTCTCTGCACTCTTTTCTTTATTCTCTTTTTTTTTTTCTCCCCTTCCCACTCTTTTCCCTTCCCCACTTCTGTCAGAATGAGCACCGAACTACTTTCAGTTTGTTTTCCATTCAACTCCTGCTCAATTTTACTTTCAGATTCTCATTCTCAACACAATGCTGAAAAACCTAAGCTGAAAATACAGTGATAACATGTTTGCTTGTTGCTCTTGTTTTTAAATATTTCCCCGGGGATTTGTAACAAATCATAAAAATGTTTTCTACTGGTCTTAAATATAGTAAAAGCTTATTTAATTTAATCAAAACTTAAATATTAAGCCAAGTTTCATTGCACAATGTGTTTCTTTAATGGAAAAAGCTAATGAAAAACACACTAGGCCAAATTCACTCTATTTTCTTCACCAGGGAGATACTTGCTCCTTTATTACCAAGGATCATTTGTTTTGCTTCATTTTTCTGGGAACTGCCTGCAAATTTGTATAATCAGGCAGTGTTCTGCACATATTTTTCATGGTTAATTCTGAAAGAGTTTTGTCCCCATTTCTACCCCTAGAGCAGCTTTTTTTGTTGGGTTTTGTCTTTTGGAATGTGAATCTCGGCTGGATGACTCACTGGGACACTAAGTTTATCTTCATCTGTTTTACAGTAATTGGACTGGAGCAATTTCTGCAGCAGTGTCTGAGGCTGTTTCCCGCTTTGAACTCGCCACTCTCACTGACGTATGTTAATTTTAGTGATTACACAAACGAGACTCCAGCCAATAAAGTTGCTGTAGTCAAACAAATGGCTCTGATCCAAGTCTCTCTTGCTTTATCTTCAGAACTGCTGCTTCACACCATGAATGAACTGCAATCAAATAAAAATATTCACCACAACAGCTTGTCAGCAGCACAACGTGCACTATTGCTTCTTTTGCAGCAGGATTTGGGATTTCATGGCGCTACATTCTGCCTATGAATGCCTGAAAAACTCCTATCTGGGTTATAAAAGGACATTTATTCAATGAGGAGGAAAAAAAATAAAAGGAAACCGTTCAATGTTTCAGTTTTCATTCAGGTAAAATCCCAGTTCAGAAGGGGCAGGGAAGCATGTGCTGAAAATGAAGTGTGTGTGCAAGTCCCACTGAAGCCAGGTAGATTGTAAGCATATGCTGAAATGCTTATTTAAATTGGGCCCTTAATTATTATGTGCTAGGAGATTGAACTATGCTTCATATTATTTTCATACATCTATATTTATAGATGTGTGGGTGGGTGGGTGTGCACGGATATATGTAAGCTGTTCACTAAAGAACATTAAAAATGAAACAAAAAAAAAGTCCCCCTCATCCCTTCTCCTGAAGTGACAGATTATTTGATGGTTTTGACAAGGAAGACTTTAACATTTGGTCGAAACAGCCATTCAGAGAAAGAAAAATGAGTCTGGCCTCACTTTTACTTGCTTTTCTGGCAGAGTTCGCAGCTTGAGCATCACTGCTGCCAGGATCCCAGCCCATCCTTGCACATCTCACTCTGGTGGAGTGCATCTCAGCTCGCATTTGTTCTGTGCTTTAACAACACAGCTGTCATTTGAACTTATACTCTTCTCCAATTCCATCAATTGTTCCAATCATTTATTTATATCAAGTTTAAAGTGTATATAATGTTAAAGTACTGTTCACCTAACAGTGGATTTTCTCCGTGATATATCTCAGTCCCATCAGTTTATAAAGGGAGTAACTCTGCAGAGCTCTATCTAATGATACCCCTGCCTGTACCCTTCTAAGACAAGCTGGTGTTCCTGATATTGTACAAATGCAGGAAACTAATGAAACGCAGAGGCTGGGGGGAGGATTAATAAAAGTTCTCAAATCCGCAAGTTCAAAAACCGTTTTATAGACCATCAAATGTAAAGTAAGGAAAAAAATGAATGCTTTGAGGAGGGATTTGATTTAGAGGGGGCAAGATGTTTGGCTCCAAGCAAGAAGGAGCAGGCACAAGAGAAACAGTGTGGACTGTCCCAAGGAAGGGATGGAAACGTAGTCCAGGAGAGCAGCCCACCAGTAGGAAATGAGGGAAGGTGAAGCAGCTCCTGAGGGGTTTTGTAAGGCAGGAAAGTGGTTTTGAACTGAATTCGGCACTGGATAAGAAGGTGACAGGAGATGGGAGCAATATGAATGAAAAATAGTTCAGCCACAAAATTCAGCATGCATTAAAGTTTCAAGAAAAGGGTTGGTTTTTTTTCCTGATCTTATTAAAAATAAAATAAAATAAAATAAAATAAAATAAAATAAAATAAAATAAAATAAAAAATTTAAAAAGAGAGAGTTGCAATTGCTGATGTGTGAATTCTTGGCAAGCTATTGCTTATAAGTTAATGACAGACCTGCCAGCAAGGAGATGCAGCCAGACTCAGAAATTTTGGTCTCCTTGTGAGCAGAGAATCACAGAATCATAAAGTTTGGAAAAGATCACCTAGTCCAATTGTCCAAGAGAGGCACAGAAATGTTAGAAGTATTGCAAATTTCATTACCAGCAGAGCTAGGGAAATGTCTCCATCTCAGGCTCTTGCTCCAGACATATCCACCAGGGCAGGTCACACATGGGACCTGGATCCTCCAAGACTTGGGAAAGGATAAGAACCAAAGACAAGTGGGAAGAGAGCAACACTGAATGCTCCTGTTGCATATGCTTATTCTCCACCTCCCTGCTTCCAAGGTAAATGCATCAAGGATCTGCCTCATTCACCCTGTGGGCAAATGGGCACAACAGCAGGGACATGAAGTCTGCATCCTTTTTGCTCACCTCTGCACCCAGAGGTATGAAGTGAAGCATCTCTCTTGTTTGAAGAGAGATGCTACATACCACTGCCTTGTGAATTAGAAGTCATGAAGAAAGAACAAGGCAGAAAATAGACTTCTGTTTGTAAAGACAGACCTGGAGCAAAGGTGAGGATGCCAGGGCTGCTAGGTTCTGCAGCTGTACTGAGCAGATTTCTTGCTAACTTTGTCCATGTTTAGCAGTTGCCACCAATTCCCATAAATATATCTCCCACAAAAGGCATGGCACCCGAAGACCAGCTCTATCCCTGCTACCCAATACGTAAGAAATTCATGTTGCCATTAGGTTTTATCACAGCTGGGCTCAAATGGGACACTCAGCAGAACCCTTAAGCCAGTTGCTTCAGCTATGTTATTGCTCTTAGCAGGCAGAAGGCAAATGGCTGCAGGAATGTTTTATGTTTCTGTTCCATCCCTGAAGTTTCCTGTTGTTTAGAAAACCTCCTGGATACAAGGGAGATGAATTATTGATATGCCAGCCTTGGGAAGGAAAAAGCAAGGCAAGGTTAGAAAAAGGGAAGGGACCTTTGTCTCGCATAAACTGTATAATAAAGCAGGACGTTTGGTTCCCAGGGAGCTGTACACAATAAAGAGAAATCAGGCTAACACAGTCTGATGTTTATAAACTGCTAATCACAGTGATTCAGTACACATCTCTGGCTTTGCTGCATGCACAGGAGTCCCACCTCCAGGCTGGCTCTGGGGACCTAGGCTCAGCTATGACCATGTGTGCAAGAGACACTTACAGGGCCGATGCTTGTGGAGAGCAGCCATCTTAGCCACACATAGAAGTAACCTGAAGCAGAATCAGTCTGGAAAATGAATTTTTCAACTGCCCTCCACCAAGTGCATCCCACTAACACAACACTACTGTACCCTCAGCAGTAAGAAATGGGAGCTGAGGAATCCACCCACACATACGGCACAGACTCTCATGTACAGTTTGATTAGCCCCATCAGCTGGGACTTTGCTCTTCTGCATGATTGACATCTGTGGGTTTGTACCACTGGTATCTTCCTACTTCTCTAAAGCTCCTATATATGGCTCACCACCAGCCACTTCCCCCTCAGCTGCGCACGCTGAGGGCAGTTGGGAAAGTTGCAAAAACACTGGTTCACTCTTCCATGTAATTATCTCCTCGCTGTTCTTAGAAAGTTGAGAGTCACGCTCTAAAACCGTACAGCACGGTGATGAGTACCCGATGCGGCACTTGCAATGTCTCACCACCAAGCCTCTGAGCCAAGCGCAGGACACACAAAGAGGTCCCACTGTGGTGCTGAGCTTCTTCAATGAGATCATTGCTATTCTGTCTTGGTTTTTGGAAAGCAGAGAATAAAAATAAGTCAGGCAGAGATGCCCATGACTGATGGTTGTAGATGGAGAATGACATAAGGACATTGCTTGCCAGGAGAGAGAAGCGAAGGAGTGGTCTTTCAGTTCACTCGAAAAACCAATCAAGAAAGGAGCATGAAGGGGAAGCACTGCCTGAAATGGACCTGAAATGTGTTTTGGTTTGGGATTGGGGTGTTTTGTTTCATAAAACTGAAAAACTGGAGGGAAATTAAGTTTGAGCTGAAGGCTGTATTTTCGTTCCTTCTTGAGTTTTTAATGTCATTCTCAAGCAGTTTCAATAAAACTGAAGTAAATCGTAAGCGAACATTGGTTTTGAATAATGTTATTGAAATGTTGTCTTTAAAATGTCAACATCAAATGTTTCAATGTTTTCAGACTTGATCTAACTACAACAATTCATTTTCCTTGCAGAAATTTTGTATTTATTCTAAATATGTGTTCGCCAGTGGAAAAAATAAAAGCAGCTGAAAATTGTTAGCCTGCATTATTTACCAGTACAAATTTTCACATGAAAAAAATCTTGCCAAAAATAAATGTCACACAGCAAATATTGGATCTGATTGGATACAGCTACTAAGGATGGACAGGGTCACAAAAAGCTATGACCTCCCTAATTTTGACAGTTGGCAGCAGCAAATGGAAACTTCCTGTTGTAAAAGGATAAAAAATGATTTAGGATGATAAGCCTCCAAGTCTGTGAGTAAGTTAAGGAGCCCCTCTGACAACACAAAAACAGGCTGCTTAAAAAATAATAACTTCTGGTCAAAAGATTTCAACATTTTTCTCTACATTTTCTACTCAGAATTTCATTTGCTTTTGGTTAAAAATAAGGAAAGGATGTATCAATTCTGAGTTCTACCATCTTCTTAGAGATTGCCTTAATAATTCTAAGAATGTTTTAGAACTCTTTTATACAAAATCATTTTAGTATGTTTGCATACATAAAACAAGTGCAAGTCAAAACGCGCAGGTTCAAACAAATTCAATCGAATACCTTGTTCCAATTTTTTTTCCATATTGCTATTGCATGTTGTCACAGTAGAATCATTAGGGTTGGAAAAGACCACGAAGACCATCATGTCCAACTGCCAACCCATCTCCACCATGTCCATTAACCCATGTCCCTCAGTGCCGTATCTACACGGCTCTTGAACACCTCCAGGGACATCGACTTCACCACCTCCCAGGGCAGCCTGCTCCAATGCCTCACCTTTTTTCCACTCTTTCTGAAAAGATGTTCTTTCTAATATCCAACCTGAATCTCCCCTGGTGCAGCTTGAGGTCGTTCCCTCTTGTGCTACTGCTATTACCTGGGAGGAGAGGCTGACACCACCTCACCACAAACTCCTCTAAGATAACTGTGAAGAGCAGTATGACTAGGGGGATTTGCCATCTTTTTCCTTCTTGGTTTCCTCCTTACTGAATCAGAAGAAATCCATGGAGAGGGAGATTTCTCATGCAGCAACTGCCTCCACCAAGTCAAAGACCATCTCCTTGCACTGCTGGGATGGAGTATCCAGCCAGCAAGGCCAGCAGTCATCACAAACAGTAAACATTCTCCAGCAACGTAAACCCTCAAAGAACTAGACTGATTTGGCCAGCATCTATGAACCCAGTGCAGATGTAATGGGATGGACCATAGCAGCCTTTCTGCAACTTGCTCCAAGCTCTGCCCTCTCATCACCTCCCGGCTGTGGTGACTGACCCTTTGTCCCCTGCCATTAGCTGGGGCTGGCCCAGGCCCCCCAGCAAGGCCTCCCACTGAGCAAACAGAGACCCAGGAAGGCTGGGCCAAGAGCAGCCGCTCCTCTGATGAAGATAAATGGTGTGGCATAGATCAGCAGACTATCTGGTGCGTCCATCACCTGCCACTCGATTAGCCATAATGAGCTCTGGATGAGCCTGCATGGAGGAGTTGTGCTGTTAATTCGTTGGGCTGCTCAGGCCTAAAGACCACAGAGGAGGCAGCAGAAGCACAGTTGAGCATACCTAGCAAATCCACGGAGATAGCAGCCATTAATTAACTCTGTGTGTTTATTTGGAAGGACAGCCATGCAGGAGATGAGATTTAGCCCCTGGAATCCAGCACATTTGGTTTTGCACCTCATCCTCCCAAGCAGCATTTCTTAGGGATTTCAGAGTCATTTCTGGAACAACTGTCATTATTTCTGCATTTGCCTTTCAGCCTTGCCCCCCACTTTTTGGTACACAGTATGACTTGCCTCTCTGCTGTGAGGCTGCTGTATATTCAGCACAGATTTCCAGCCTGGCACTGCAGTAGGACCCCACAGTAGTCCTGAGATACTTTCTGGAGCAACACAGCAACAACTGCCAACCACAAGCCGTGCTCAGACCAGACCAGCACAAGTGTGTCTCAGAGAGCTGGCAGTAAGGGTGGGAGAATTCAAGCCCAGGGAAATTCCAGCACACAGATACACAAGAGAGAGCACACAGGTCTGAATGTATCTGGCATGCAGACCGCAGAGGCGAGCTTATCTCTTGCATTTTATAATGAGAAGGTGATGGGCCAGATCTCCAAAGGTATTTAGGTGCTTCGACATTTAACCTCCCACTGATTTCAGTGGGAGGCCCACAAGGAAATTAAGCATCTAATTATTCTTGGAGGTCTGGCCCTAGAGCTCTGCTTTCCCAAGTTGTTTATCTCTCCTTCATTTATTGCTGCCCATGAAGCCACCTCAGTAGGGCCAGTTAGCGCTGAGAGACCCTGACCCCAGTCTCTTGACCCACCTTCAGCTCAAAGATGTTTGTACACAGCCACATTCATTCCTCACCCACAGTGGTACACACTCAGCTGTGGGTACAGGAGAAAGGAACAGGGGCCACAGAACAGTGGCACAGGAAAAGGGTAAAGCGCCATTACAGTAGAAGGGGCTTGTCTTTAGCGTGAGCTTGCCCACAGTAAACAGGTATAAATGCTGAAGACACATCATGTTCACATCCCTTCTTCACAAAGCATCTTTGGCAATGTTGATGGCAGAAAGTTGCAGCCCTAACCATGCAGTTATCAGAGTCCT